GGCATACTGAGGAAATACCTGACCAAAACAAGACCAAAAACCAGCAGGGCAAACACCAAATCCAGTAGTTCCATCTCCAACTTCTGGGACTTTACTTTCAAATGGCTTAGATTGCTCAACTCCTCCAGCTACATGCAACATATATCTTTGTCTTGGGTTGGTACCACTACCTGTATGCAGTGCTCCGTGGTAGATGTCTCACGGCTCTGGAATCTAGAATATCTTCTTTGGTTCTCTACTGCCAACCAGGCTTCACCTTCACAGTTTTATGCAATGGCCTATCAGGGCCTTCTTTATGCAGAAACACCCCTGCTGCATGTTGCCTGGCCTCAAAGGCTCTCTGAAACCTTGGAGGAAGATCCCTTCACTCTTGCATCTTTCCTACCTCTAAAGCCAGCACCTCTTAACATTGCCAAGTTTGGCTGCCAGACTGAGATTGCCTCTCCCACCCCCCACTTCATCCACGTTCTCAGCTTTTTTCTGTTGTGGTTTTCTAGGAGTAGAGAACCCCTCCAACATTTTCCTTTCACAAGTTGGAGGCTTAGCTAGGTGTGGTCTTGCTTCTTTTCATTCTTTAAATATAAATCTCTAGGCTTCTGCTTAAAGACTTTAATCTCCTAATCAAAGAGAGTCACTCCTTCAGCACATGCCTTGCCTTCAACTTTAGTCTTCCTGGTGTTCTTTTTCAATCCAAACTGTACATTTTGTATTTCTTTCTGTCCCACTTGTTCTTTTTCACTGTAGATCTGCAAAATAGTCACCATTAATAGCCATAACACCATTTTTAGTTAGGCTGCCTTGAAATTTCCTCTGCCAAAGAAATTAGTCCATTGCTTTTCAAGTTCTCAAGCAAGCTCTTAGGCTGTGGGCAGCAGCCAGACTCTTTGCCAGAACATTACAGTTTCTGCCTAAGTCCTGATTTCCCTCTGGAACTGCTTTGCTCTCAGCACTATTTTCTTCCAGGCTCCTACTAGAATGGCCTGTTAAGTTCTGCAAATAGCATTTAAATGCTTTTCTAGGCCAAACTTCCAAAGTCCTCCATATTCCTCCCAAAACCCACATGGTCAGGTTCTTTACAACCAACATCCCACTCCTGGTTCTGTATTAGTTTTCTGTTGCTGTGATAAAACACCATGACCAGGGGAACTTATAAAAGGGATTAGAGTCAGGCGTGGTGGCAAGAGGTGGCCAGAGGAACAGTCACATCTTCAAGCAGGCACGGGAAGATGAGAGTGACTAGAAATCTGTCAAGGCTTAAGAACTCTCTGAGCCTACTCCCAATGACACACTTCCTCCAGCAAGGCCAGACCTTCCAAAATAGCACCACCATCAGGGGACAAAACATCCAAATACTTGGAGCCTGTAGGAGAGAGTCTCATTCAAACCACTTTAGTAACCAAGAGGAGGAGCAATGGCCAGGTATTGTTTGAGGCTCTGTGAGACCCTTTGTTGACAGCTTCAAAGGAAGAATCCATTCCTGGCACTGAACTTTTTCTTTGCTAGCCTATAGTGTGTGGTAGGGGCAATGTCCCCATTATAAGGTAACTCATTTTCTCTCTTTTTATATTGTATAATTATATACTCTAAGAAGCTTTTACAGTGGTAGGTTTCCATATGACTTTTTCTAAGCAATTAGTGTTAGTTATCCCTTCCTATACTCCCTCCTCTTCCTTGCCTTCTCATTTCCCATCCCATTTAACCCTTCCTACCTCATTATTCCCCATTATCATCATTATTATTCTATATTTTATCTCTCTCCCTACGAAGCCTTCTCCCATGACCCTTACTAGTTTCCTGACCTCTATGGGTTTTCCAAGACCCTTTCAAATCTTAATTTAGAACAAAAATTGAAGAGCTGGGTGCCAGCACCCAAAAGGCAAAGATAGGCTGATCTCTGTGAGTTCAGGATTAGCTTGGGCTACATAGTGAGAGCCTATCTTTAACCCACTGCCACATTGTAATGCCTTGAGGCCCTTACATAGACCCCACCTCTCAGTAAGATGATTTTCCAGCTGACCCATTCCTGAAGAGATCAGGAAAGCTTTCTGAGAGTGGCTGTATGACCAGGAGAGTCAGATGATGTGATAGAAAAGTGTTCTGAAGCAAAATATCTCAATGTGAGTTCTTCTTGACATTATTAACGATGTGATCTTTAGTAGGTTGCCTTTTTTCTCTGAGCTTATGTGCTTGTTGCAAGAGTTGTAAAGTGGATATGGACTCTGAATTGTGAAGCATGATACAGAGATATTGGAGAGGGTGTTAATATCAACAAACAGACCCACATCCTCATGTCCTCATAGGTTCGAGAGGCCTTGAGGAAAGCAGAGAAAGAGCTGGAATCACACAGCTCGTGGTATGCTCCAGAGGCCCTTCAGAAGTGGCTGCAGCTGACACATGAGGTAGAGGTGCAATACTACAACATCAAGAAGCAGAGTGCCGAGAAGCAGCTGCTGGTGGCCAAGGAGGGGGTGAGACGTGCTCTTCTGGGGTCTCCTTTTACCCTTCCCTCTCTTCCCTTCCCTCTTCCTTTTTACCTTCCCTTTCTCTTCTCTGCCTCATCCCAACCCTCGCTCTGTGTGAAGAGATACACTGGCAGCTCCTGGTAATGTCTTAAAGCTTTTGGAGGAGGAACTGATGGTAAAAGGGTAATCCCTCCTGCCTTCTGGGAATGATGAAGCCAGCAGAAGCAGGTAGAGGGAAAGCCTTTCCAGCCCCAGGTGCCATGGGAACAGAGGTCCTCCTCAGGGTTGGGTAGTTTCCTTTATTCTGCTATCTTCCTCTCTTTCTCTTTCTCTTCCTTTTCCTTGTGCAGCCTCAGTTGTGCTAGGAGGAGGGGAACCAGCCTCAGGAAGGCCTTCCTCACTTCTTCCAATCTCTACTTCATGCTCTCTTTAAGCTGGGGGCCTCATCTTTGCAGGCTGAGAAGATAAAAAAGAAGAGAAACACACTTTTTGGCACCTTCCATGTGGCCCATAGCTCTTCCCTGGATGATGTGGATCATAAAATCCTAACTGCTAAGTAAGTATCAACTCCAGCAACACCCATACCACCTTTGGAATTTGAAGTTGCGTGAGGCCTTTAACCCCAATTCCATTTCCTCATGATGGAGCGACAACTCAGGTCTCCTGCCTGAGTCTGATCCAGCTCCTACCTTGCTCTTAATTAATTTATGGTAGGTTTTATTAATACATAACCCCCTAATTTATTCCTCTGAGAAGTGACCTGATTCTTATTGGGGTTCCCACACAGTCCATATCTGCAGTTCTTTTTCATCTGTCCTTAGGCAAGCACTGAGTGAGGTGACAGCGGCACTGAGGGAGCGCCTGCACCGGTGGCAGCAGATTGAGATCCTTTGTGGCTTCCAGATTGTCAACAACCCTGGCATTCACTCCCTGGTGGCTGCCCTCAACATAGACCCCAGCTGGATGGGCAGTACGCGCCCTAACCCTGCCCACTTCATTATGACTGATGACGTGGATGACATGGATGAGGAGATTGTGTCACCCTTGTCCATGCAGTGTAGGTGACCTCTTTGGTGGGGACAAGAGAAGTGGCCTTTGATGTACAAGATGAGAAATCTGTTGTTTCTGCTGTGCTTTAACAGCCTTGGGGGCAGATAAGGAGGGAAACAGTCAACTCCTGATTTGGGTGGTTTTTCCTTGCTGTTTGCCCTCTCTGTCATTCTGTCTGTTGTGTGTTTCTCTTCAGTCTGTTTTTCTGTCTAGTCCTCCTTCTTCTTCCCCCTGCCATCTACCCTGTAAAAAAGTCTCTTTTTGATTTACAGTATAAACATAGCACGCATTTTGACTATTTGTGTTTGTTTATTTTCACTTTGTTTCTTAGCCCTAATTTCTAAAGCAGATGAATGGAATGATGTCTTTCTCTTTCTCCCTGCCTTTCAAGGCACAAGAACTCCATATAGCATCAGTCCTTTAAAGTAATCTAGCCCTAAAGTCTCCAGGCTGGAAGGCATTCTTGCCGAGGAGGGAACTCCTGCACAAGTGTGTCTGCCTCTCCACCCAAACTCGGACCTCGTCATCCACTGTCCTAGTCCTTCCTCTTCCTTCTCGAAGATGATGAGTGCTGGTGCTAAAGAGAGCAGAGCTGAAAGGGATACCATTCTGTAGAAATTCTGTAGTAACTTTCCCTTTCCTGGTCCACAGTTGAATTTTTCTTTGGATGGGAGGTTATTTTAGGTAATGGTAAAGGTGTTGTCGTGGGCCCATACCTTATCAGTGTAGAGACAATGACAGAAAGCCAAGGCTGATCTAGTGGCTCACTTTTAGGAGACCAGATACTTTCCCCTACTTCCCCTAAAGGCCATATTCTTTAATCAGGCTGGACTCCCACTCCAGACAAAATTTATTTGTAAATTTTCTCTTTTTTTTGAGACAGTGTCTCAATTCTTTTGCCCTGGCTAGGCCTGGAACTTGCTATATAGATCAGACTAGCTTCAACTTACAATGATCCTCCTACCTCTCTGCTAAAACCCAGGGTTGGGATTATGGGCATGTACCACCATGCCTTGTTGCAAATTTCTTGGTAGTAATATGTCCTTAGTCAAGCCTTTCTGATATCCTGTTAGGTCTTTAGTCAAAGGCCTAACAAGATTTGGGTCACTAACAGACAAAGTTGGATCCTAACTTACTGTTCTAAAGTCTCCTGTGCTCCCCTTGTTGGCAATGGGGCTCTGACCTATTCATCCCCTTCCCCGAGCCCTTCCCATATTCCATAGATGATGAACAGGCCAAAACCCTTCATAAATCAGATTCTCTTCTCCTTTTGGCCTGGCTGTTGACCCTAGATGCTGCCTGGCTGATGGGGCGTAGGTTCAGTGACCGCTCTCTCTGCTCTACATCCGTCGGCTCGGATGATCAATCCCTCTGGAAATACCCGGGTTTGAGGAGCCCCTTTGGGGCTTTTGTTTTTCCGACTTTTGGGACTAAAACAACACTCCTATTCATTGGGCCCCTTCTCTTGCCTGCCTCACACCCCTGCCTGCTCCCTTCGTCCCTTGAGCACTGTCCCTACTAACTTCTGTAAAGGGTTCGGGGGTGAGAAGAATCAGCCTGCTCAGCTGAGGACTGGAGACAACATTCATGGTGATGGAGGCTTAGGCCTTTTCCTTCAACCCAGCTATACAAGTGTCCTGGTGGAACCTTCTTCCAACTGGGTTGGGAGGGAAAGAGGAAAGGAAAGAAAACTCCCATTTTTTCTTTTTCATGTTTCTTCCCTTTCCTCCCTGTTTCTACTTTCTCTCTCCTTCTCTTTCCTATTATGGGCTTCTTCTTCTTTTTTTTTTTTTTTTTTTGAACTCACAGGGATCTACCTGCCTCTGCCTCCCGAGTGCTGGGATTAATGGCGTGCACCACCACGCCCAGCTAGCCTCCCTTTTATGCCTTGAAAGCTACCAGCTGCAGAAGCCCTGCCTCCTAACTCTCTATCACTATGGGATTGTGTTCCCTCCATGGGTTATCCTTCCAAGGCTCTGTCACCCTTGCAATCTTTGCCTTTCTCTCACTTCTAAGGAGAAAGCATCTTCTATTTAGGTGGATCTGGGATTGAGCACAAGGACTTGCTCTGGCACATTCCTAGGTTACCTGCTATCCCCCAGAGGATGGTAGTTATTATCTTCTAAGAGCTTGATTTGCAGCATTGATCCAGGAGCTGGATATTGTTATTTACATGCTTATTATAGGAAATTTGGAAAGTAGAAAACAGGTACATAGTAGCATAAAAAGGCATCTGTTTTTCCACAACAGCTAAATACTTGTTCTTTCAGTCTTTTACTCTTAAAAATGTAGATAAATAATAATAACCACTACCATTAATTTACAATGACCTGTAAAGGTATTTTGGAGATTCTTTCTTAAAAGTCTCAGAACAATCCTGCAAAAATTCTGAGAGTTTTACAAATTCTGAGAGTTCCTCAGCAGGCCTGGAACTCTCTCTGTAGACCGGGCTGACCTTGATTTCACAGAGATCCATCTGCTTCTGCCTCCTGAATGCTGTGATTAAAGGTGTGCACCACCATGTCCAGCTGGTTTTTGTTTTTTGAGACAGGGTTTCACTCACTATATAGCCCAGCCTAGCCTCCAGCTCACTTTGTAGACAGTTGGCTTCCAACTCATGATCTTCCAACTTTAGCCTGCAAATGCTGAGATTATAGTTGTGTCCTACCACACCCAGCTCCAGAGCATTTTAATAGATATTTTCCATGTTATTAAAATCTTTTTATAAGCATCACTTTTAATTAATATCTGTCATTTCCCAGCAAGTGGATGTATTCTCATTTTCCTATTACCCCACCTTTATGTTCACTTTCGTACAATTATTAATGATCCAGTGAACATGTTTGTGTATTAGTCCTTGTCTAAGTTGTAAATTAGTTTCCGAGGTTGGCTGTTTTGAAAAGGCTGGTTCTTAGTGCTCTCCCGGACCTTGCCCCAATTCCCTTTCCTCTACTGCCCTGCCTGTTTCCTCCCACTAACTGCCTTGCTACCTCCCTTTATAGTGGCATTGGCCTTAGGTCTTCTTCCATTGAAGTTATCACTAAAACTGACCCGGGCACCTCATTTCCAATTTCCCATCCTTTCAGGTCCCCCTAGAGGGAGGTTTCTGGGAGGTGGTACCCCTTTCTCCAGAGAGGTCTCTAGCAGTTATATCTTTATGGGTATCTGCTTGCCTGGCCAACTGAGATTGGCCCTTCCTCACATTCTCTTTACTCTCCTTACAGCCCCCAGTCTGCAGAGCAGTGTCCGGCAGCGCCTGACGGAGCCACAGCATGGCCTGGGATCTCAGAGGTTGGTAGAGGGCGAGGCTGGCCACTTCTTGACAAGCCGGGTATCTCTGCGGCGAATGCGCAGCCTTTCATCTGGACAGTCTTTCAGTTCTGAAGGCTACGGGACCAGCCCTCCATCTGCCTCTGCTTCTTCCTGCTCTTCCACCACCACCACCACCACCACCACCACCACCACCACCACCACCACCACCATCAATACCGTCCATGTTCACCCTGTTTATTATCACCACAGCACTTCCTATTTCCTCCAGATGGATCCCTACCCTGACCCACCCCCTTCTGACAGCACCACTGTGATGCCTGGGCATTCAGAGAGCTTGGGGTATCAGCTGTCTCTCTTCTCATTCTTCCTTCCCTCCTTCCCTTTCTACTGCTTTTACCTTGGCCTCTGCCTGCTGGCTGCTGCTTGATGACCACCTCTAGGGGGTGTGGTGGGGGAATCTCCCTTGTCCTTTCCTTTCCCAGCGCTGAGACTCCTTAATTAAAGTCAGCCTCATTTCCCATACCTTTCTCCCCTTTGCTGTTTGGGGTTTTCTGACTCTAAAAATGAGTAACAGTCCTCTTCCCTCATGATCCTGTAGCACTTTTGCCTGAACTGTGCACTTTTAGATCACTTATCTGAGAGGGGGTTCCGTTTCCTTTATTCCTTCAACAAATATACTCTGTGTGAGATTCTTCTGGCCATGTGGAGTCGTAGATGCTAAGATACAATCCCAGCCATCATGAGCTATAGTCTTGTCTGGGGAAGTCTGGACAGTTAACTGAATGAATAAATTACGGAACAATTTGTTAAGTGCTATAGGGTGTTGAGGAAGGAAGACTGACTAACAGTGTGTACCTGGGTGGAATGCTTCATACAAAAGCGGCAACATTTGTGGTAAAATGCTGTGATTTGAGAAAAGAATAAATATTCTAGTTCAAGTAAACATTATGTGTAGAAGCATGGAACATATTACCTATTTATGATGAAAATATTGCATATATATTGGAGAGAAAAGAGGGGCAGAAGGGACCAAAATGATGAAAAGCTCAGAAAGGCTAAGCATTTAGCCTTTACCTTTTCAGAAATGGAGAACCATAAAAGGGTTTCTAAATGAAAGTGAATTGGTTATATTTCCATTTTGAAGGACCAGTACGATGGTTCAGCAGGTAAAGGTGCTTGCTACCAAGAATGATGACCCAAGTTCAGTCCTCAGAACCCACGTGGTGGAAGGAGAGAACTGACTCCCCAAAACTTTCCTCTTACCTCCACATACATGCCACAAGCATGTGCATGCATGTGTATACACAAAATAAATAAATCTAAAAAAAAGGGGGAAGCATTTCTCTTTTAGAAATAACATGTTAGTGGCCTGTATGCAGGAAAGGAGGAGGAAACTAAGGAATTTGGAGTCACTACAACATACCACTCAGGGAAGTAATGAGGTCTTGGCATGGAAAGATGAGTTACTTCTAACTGGCAACAGAGGTTATAAAGGGAAGAGTCTGGTATGACATGGAGGGTTCTAGCTTGATGACTAAATGAGTACAGCACAGAAGAGACTTGGGGATTTGGGACAATAAAAGTTAAACAGGTATTAAAATGCTCATTTGTTAGAGCAGAAGTTAAGGTTCTGAGAGATTAAGTAATTCCCCCCAGGTCCCAGAGGTAATTAGGAGGTGGGCACAGGCTGAACAGGGCTTTCCATTCAGAACATTTTTGTCCTTCTGCAAGGTCTCAGTAAATAAACTAGAAAACAATTAAAAGACTCTCCCACTGGGCGTGGTGCTGCATACCTTTAGTCCCAACACTTGGGAGGTAGAGGCAGGCGGATCTCTGAGTTCAAGGCCAGCCTTGTTTATATAGTGAGTTCCGTGCCAGCTGGGGCTACAGGGGGACCCTGTCTCAATAAAACAAACAACAATTAAAAAAAAAAGAAGAAGAAAAGGCTTTTTCCATGCCCTGTTCTGGCAGCTCGGTGACTTTTCCTGCCAGTATGTCCAGATGTTAGACTAAGGCTCAGGTAGTAGCCTGACCTTGCCTGGAGTCCAATTAGCTTAGGGGACCCTCAGAAAGGATCCCTGTTTAGAAATATCGCTCATCTCTAAAGTTATAACCATGGCCCAGTCCCAGTTGCTGGGCTGTAGCCTGCTGACTCTTGCTTTCTTTTGGCTCTGCCTCACTCTGGCTTCCCATCTCTCGAGCTCTGCCTTGTGAGCCTCTGGATAATTATTCTTGAAGTGGCTGATCCTTTCTCTTCCACAAAGGGGCTGCCCTTACTAGGATCATTACTCTGCAGAGCTGCCCATTTTCACTCTCATCCTCATTTTCATCTAGAAGCCTAGGAAGGAAGAGTGCTCCTTCCAGTACAGATGGAGAGGACTGGATTGGGTTGGGAAAGCTGTGGGTTGCAGTGATTTCATGCTCCAAGGTCTAAGCCGAGGACAGTGGGGAGGAAGGGCGGGTAGCATCTGCATCTACCTGGCCTGTTCACTGCTTAATTTTCTTTTGCACCATGCACCAGAGGATCATCTCTAAAGGCAAACAGGCTCTCTAGTAAGGTTAGTAGCTTGGGATGGGAGGCCAAGGCAGCCCAGACTCTGGGGAGGGATAACCCCTGGCCCAAAAGGTCTCAGAGTTTCGGGGAGGGAAAGTGAGCTTGCCTCAGTGGGATTTTCCCCTCTTATATCTACTTAGACTTTCTCCCATTTTTTTTTCTTTTTTCCTTTATCTTTCTTTGGGACTCTTAGCATTTAATTTATGAGAGAGGCATGGAAAGATAGGAATCAATAACAAATGGGTCTGTGGGCCAGGAGGAGTGAGGCAAGGAGGTCACAACCCTTTGATCTCTTTTCCTTGGTGTTATGAAGGTAGGAATTCCTAGGATCCTTACTTCCTCAACTTAAAGAGTCCCCTTGTATTCAGTGTAGTGTGTATGTGTAGTTGTTCCTCAAAACTTCATCACACATTGCTTAGTGGTCTATATGTATGGAGAAGGCAGGGTACAGAGAAGATTGTTGTGGTGGGAAATTGTTTTTTGTTTTGTTTTGTTTCACATAGAATCTCATGTAGCACTGACTGGCCTCAAATCAGCTATGTGGCTAAGTGTGATCTTGGACTCCTGATCCTCCTGTCTCTACTTCCCAATGGTTGATAGTATAGGCATACAGTAGGATACCCAGGTTTATTTTGTTTTGTTTGTGAGAAAGGGTCTTTCTATATAGCCAGACTAGCTTTGGATATGGGGAAATTCTCATGCCTCACATTCCAAGTGCTTGGATTATAGGCATGCGCTATTATACCTGGCAAAAATACATTTAGATAGAAGCAAGGACCAGTGTTGTATATATGAAATCAAACATGACACTGAATATTTATAAATAATAGACTGTGACTGAAACAGTATTTGTAGCATTGAAATTAGAGCCGAAATTGCTCTCTCCTGTCCCTTCCCCCAAGCTCCTAGAATGTATTGGCCTATGGAGTGGCTGCTTAGTTACTTGTTTCCTGAGAAGTAAACCTACAGTAAGGCCAGTTGTGGTGGCACACACCTTTAATATCCCAGCACTGGGAGGCAGAAGCAGGTGGATCTCTATGGGTTCAAGGCCAGCCTGATCTACATAGTGAGTTCCAGGCCAGTTGGGGCTACAGGGAGAACCTTGTCTCAAAAAGACCAATAAAATAATAGTAAAATAAACCTACAATAGTTATGAACCAACCCTTTGCTTTTGCCTGTTTCAGGAGGCTGGTACCCTTCCTAACTGCTGACCCTCAGCTTTCTTCTTTCCTGTGTTGCTTTCCTTTCCTACTCGTCTCTTTTTCTTTGGCTTCCTGACTCAAAAGTTTATATATTTCCTTGGCCCTCTCCTCTGCCTCTGTTGTGGGTTCTCATGAACCTGGGAAAGCTGAAGAGGGCATCAACATTGACAGGGGACCCTACTATTCATCCTTTTGTCACAGAGGCAGGAGCAGTAGCATCTGGAATTAGTTCATGACCTTCCTAGGGATAGCTAGTCCCTTAAAGGGTTTCAAGTTCCTGAACTAGCCATGCTGTATATGTCCAGTGTGCAGGGGCCCCATAGTTCAGCCCTGCAAAGAAAGCCTCTTGTGATTGGCCCCCACATTGGCCATCTAGCTTGGCTGGCTTCATCACCTTCATTTCTGTAATACTCTGCACATTTTCCAAATGTTTTGTTAACATTTTTAGTTCTCCATACAATTTTATAAAATAATGGAATCCATACTGGCTTAATTGGGCAAGAATTGAGGTCCAGCAAAGTTAGATGTCTAAGACAGAAGAGTCCAGAGCTCTTCTCAACCCCTGCTCCCTAAAGGCCAATAACCTATCTTTTTATGCCTCCCTTCATTATCCCTGTCAGCAGAGCTCTGAGATTGACCTCATACTTCCTACTATGATTTGAACTCTGCAGTATATCTCTGTGACTTCCTATGAATCCCATGAGAAGATAGGAAGAGACAACATATTGGTCTTTGGGACTGAGTGAGGGATTGTTTGCAGCGCTGGTCTAATGTCTCCCTAGCCTGGGTCAGGCCCATTGACTGCATGTGCCCTATTCCTTGGGTCTGGCCCAGACTGCATGTATGCTAGGCGTGATGGGGTTAAGTAGGGGGTGCGGGGGAGACATGGAAAACAGTGACTCAGAGCAACATGTAGCTTCTGATAGCTTAGGATTGAGACATAAGAAACTTAGCTAGCTATGGGAAGGCAGAGATCTTGTTGAGGGGGATACCTGTGGAATTAAAGCTTATGGTTGTACCAACATAGCACCTTGGTACTCAGCAGGGATAGGGCCTGGGAATTATGAAGCTATTTGCCTGATTATGATGGTATATAATGACATTTGTTTTTTGTTTCTTTGTGTCTGTCTCTAATCACTTTTCCCTTTCTCCCTTTGATCCTTTATATGTCTACCCACTTTTCTTCCTCCATAACTCTCCTCTGTTTCTTCTCCAATCTATCTCCATTTCCTGTTCCCCTTCCTCTCTTCTCCTGTACTGATGGCTTACTCAACTTTCATTATTCATTCCTCTTTCCTTTTCCTCTGCCTCTTCATCCTTTTTGTCTCTGCTACCCGTCTCCATTTTCCTTCCTTTTCTGCCCTCTCACATCACCCCTTTTTCTTCTCCCTCTTTCCATTTCCCTGTATTGTATATGTCTCTTTCTTCCTCTCTCCTGTATCTTGCAGGGATTTGACCCATTCCGATTCGGAGTCCTCCCTCCACATGAGTGACCGCCAGCGTGTGGCCCCCAAGCCTCCTCAGATGGGCCGTGCTGCAGATGAGGCTCTCAATGCCATGCCTTCCAATGGCAGCCATCGGCTGATTGAGGGGGTCCATCCAGGATCTTTGGCGGAGAAACTACCTGACAGCCCTGCCTTGGCCAAGAAGGCAATAATGGCGCTGAACCATGGCCTAGACAAGGCCCATAGCCTGATGGAGCTGAACCCCTCAGGCCCAGCTGGTGGCTCCCCACCTTTGGATTCTTCTTATTCTCATAGCCCCAGTTCCCCAGACCCAGACACACCATCTCCAGTTGGGGACAGCCGAGCCTTGCAGGGCAGCCGAAACACACGCATTCCCCACTTGGCTGGCAAGAAGGCTGTAGCTGAGGAGGATAATGGTTCTATTGGTGAGGAGACAGACTCTAGCCCAGGCAGGAAGAAATTTCCCCTCAAAATCTTTAAGAAGCCTCTTAAGAAATAGACAGAATGGGGTGGCAGTGTTAAAACAGCCTGTTCTTCCCTGGGTTTTCTGCCTTTCCCTCCCTTCAAGATATCTGGCCCCTAGAGTGGGACATGGAGGGGTTGGCCCAAGGGCCTGGGCACTGTACATACCTGCCCTCCTCATTCTGTGCCCATCATCATTATTTATTAACTGACCACCATGGCCTCCCTGCCCTGCAACCCTCCCAACCACGGGCTGCTGCTGTCACACCCTTTCCACTTCAGCGCATGTCTTAGTTGCCGTTCCCTCAGTTTCCAGCTCCACTTTTGGAGTTCAGCTTCTGTCTCTGCTGTTCCAATTTTGAGGTTTGGTTTTGTTTCTGTCTCCTGCTTTCAGGCTCCTCCCTCCCACTACTCCCAACTTCCCTAGCAGTTGTGGGGAAGCTAGGAGGAGGAACTTCTGACACCTGTACCTCAGATCTAGTCATTTTACCCAACAGTGGTTCTGTTTAGCCCAGACTGGGCCAAGGGCCTAATCTTTAGGGTCTGTTCTTTGGAGGTGTGGTGGGCTCGAGGGAATCTTATCCTGGAGCTCATTGGGGCTTCCAGAGGTCTGTGGAGGAAATGGAACCAGCTCCCAGGGAACAACTCATCAGAATTTTTAAGAGAAGTCAGGTTGTGATGATGGAGAGACTTCTCTTAGCTGGAGGAATGTAGATGCTAAAGCTGTGGGCTATGAGGCAGTTACCATTTCTCTCATCTTGCCCACTTCTGCCTTCCTCTTGCCCCCACTCCCCTATATTGCACGAGTGTGTCTCTTAAGAGGTGCTGTCCTGAAGCTCCATAAGCATCAGTACTACTGGGACTCAGGACAATTGGCTCTCCTGCCTATGGGAGTCATAGTCATGACACAGGGCTCTTGTGGAGCCCTGGGCAAGGATGTTGTATTTGAATCAAAAGACAGTTTTAAAGTGAAAAAAGAAATCTGAATTTCCCAAGTGCCTGCACAGCATCCTCCCTCTGTCAGACTCCATTTTTTACTGCATAGCCTGGGCCAGAGGCTCAAAAGGACACAAGTGGTTTGGGGAAAGGGTGGTGAATGAAGATGGTGTATGTATGTGAAGGCTGCTGTGTGACCACTTTCCCCCAGCACCTCCCATCTTCCAGACAACTCTCTCCTTTACCTATTTTTGCTATGGCTGTAAAGGTATTTTCCCCTCTGCCCCATTCTGGCATGCCTTTACCCTGAGATCCTAATTTGGGCCTGGGTTGGGTATAGCTGGGGCTGGTCTTAGGAGGGTGCTAGGCTACAGTCTGCCTTGTAACCCCCTGGGCACCCTCACATGGGTTTTCTGTGTTATTTCATAAGACTCTTTGAAGTCCAATAAAGCATGTAGGAGATTTTAATCTCTGATGACTCTCATTGTGTTCTCTCTGGCTTAACAAAAAGGGACAAAGGGACTAAGTGGGTTAAGGCAGTTCCCACCAAGCCTGACAATCTGTTTCATTCCTGGCACCCATGTGGTGGAAGGAGAGAACCAACTTGGAAAGCTGTCCTCTGACCTGTACATACATATCATGTGGCACACACCTGGGGAGGGGACATGGGATGGTCAAAATATATAAATATTTTTTTTTAAAAAACATTCATTTTTTTATGTGTATGCGTGTATTCCCTGCATGTAGGTAAGTACACCTGTGTCGTGCAATGCCTGTGGAGGTCAGAAGATGCTGTTGGATCCCCTGGGACTGGAGTTATGGGACAGTTATTAGCTGCCATGTGGGTGCTGGGATTTGAACCCGGGTCTTCTGCAAGAACAGTCAGTGTTCTTAACTGCTGAGCCATCTCTCCAGCCACAATAAATTTTTTTATAAAACACAAAAGGAGCCAGACGTGGTGGCGTACACCTTTGGTCCCAGCACTCAGGAGGCAGAGGCAGACAGATCTCTCTGAGCTCAAGGCCAGCCTGGTCTACATAGTGAGTTCCAGGACAGCTGGGGCTACAGGGAGACCCTGTCTCAAAAAGACAAAAAACAAACAAACAAACAAACAAAAACCCCACACACAAAAGGGGCTCAGTGTGGTGGTCCATACCTTTAATCTTAGCACTTGGGAGGCAGAGACAGGTGGCTCTCTATGAGATCAAGGCTAGTCTGGTCTATATAGTGAGCTACAGGCCAGCTGGAGTACAGGGAGACCCTGTCTTAAAAAAAAAAAAAAGCCTAACCAATCAATAATAATAAAAAAAATCACAAAAGGGAGAAACTATTCTTCCTTTGCCAAGGGGAAATGAAACTCCAAGGCACATACCTCAAAGCTGAGTAGAGATATCTAATCAAATACAAGACATCTAGGTCAGTTTGAGTTCAAGGTGAATGACGACTTTTTAGTATATTTGGGATACAGTGTTATTTCCTAAATCTGATAATTCTGTTTGATTGATTGGTTGACTGATTTTGACTTTAATTTTTATTTTATGTGTTATGCCTGCATATATGTACATGCACCCATGTCATGCAGTGCCTGAGGTCAGAAGAGGACATTGGATAGCCTGGAACTAGAGTTATGAACAGTTTTTAGCCACCATGTGAGTGCTGGGATTCAAGCACGGGTCTTCTGAAAGAACAGCTAGTGTTCTTAACCACTGAGCCATCTCTCTAGCCCAGGATGACTGATTTTGAGACAGGGTCTCACATATCCCAGGGTGGCCTTGAACTTGCTATGCAGATGAGTCTGGCCTTGAACTCCGAATCCTCCTGCCTCCACTTTCCAAGTCCTAGGATTACAGTCATATGGTGTTCTGCACATTTGATAATCCTACTTCTGAGCTATCTATAAGGTTTTTTTTTTAGTATATTTTTCATTTATTGTGTGTGTGTGTGTGTGTGTGTGTGTTTATGGAAGTCAGAGGACAACTTTTGGGAGTTGATTCACTCCTTCCTCTATGTGGATCTTAGGTATAGAACTCAAATCATGAGGCTTGACCACAAGTGTCTAATCATGCTGAGCCATCTTGTTGGCCCTACCTTCTTTTTAAAAA